ACAAAGGGTTGGCGACTTGTAATCACTTTGTGGCGACCAATTTCGCACTTCGTCCGATCGCCACCAGAGGGAGTTCGGAGGTTTTAAAAGACCGATTCGAACACGTGCCTTCGTCCTTTTGTCGACTCCTCGTCTAGAGTACGGACTCCTATTCAATTGTGCTACCTGAACTCTTTTGTTGGCAACTAGTCGCCACATTGGTGACCCGAACGTGATCCAACCTCAATCCAATTTCATCTGGACATTCACGCCATTAATTTCAACGGTTTTTGTTCCATCCGCAAAATCGGATTCACCGCATATTTTATTTTGTGATATTTTTTGGAGCAACCACATGGCCACAGAACAAAGGTCGAGTAACTTCCCGCACTTACGCTAGGTAAGCGTATCATTTTTTTTTCTCGCTCATCGGAACTCTCTACTCGTACGCCCGGCTATCGAACAATTCGTGCGTTTCACATTTAACCGATTTTTTTTTGGGCTCTCATCCTTTGTTCTGAAAATCAGCATGCCGCTCAGCGACCAGCCAGAAACAATGGCCGTCAACGTAACTCGAGTCGCTGTTAAGCCTCCGCCGTTTTGGAAGCCGAATCCGACGTTATGGTTCGCGCAACTCGAGGCACAATTTGCCATCTCCGGGATATCCGCAGACTCCACAAAATTCAACCACGTGATTTCAGCAATCGAGTCCGAGGTGCTCAACTCAGTTAGTGACTTAATTCTACACCCACCGGCCAGCGAAAAATACGAGGCCCTCAAAAAACGTCTCATTGAGCTACANTGAATAATAATAATAATAATAAGTTTCAATAAAAATAATAAAATGTAAATTGAATTTTATTATAATAAGTTTGCTTGAATTTCCTTTCTTCCGAGATTGCAGCAATGCGCGATGGGTAAGCTAGTTGTTAATAAAGAAACATTCCACATATTTCATTTGTTCAAAAAATAAGATAGCAAACAGGCCTGCTAAGGGGCAAAAGGGGTCCCCTCTATCTTGGGTTTGATACAAATTCTTGTCAGCCCTGTATGGCACACCTCATGGATAACAGTGCAGCTCTGAATAAGATGGTTGGGACCTTATCAGAACTATAGGAGTAAAAGAGTCAAAAAGAACTGATGGTGTACATATGACCCTTTGCAAGATACAGCTCTCCAAAATCAGCTTGTTAAACATGCAACCAAGGCTGTGGAGTCAGAGTGGTGAAGATTTGGTGTTTTAGTTGAAGTTGGAGTCTTCAAAAATCTCCCTGACTGCAACTCCTTTTTACTTTTCCAACTTGTTATGTATATAAAAAATGAAAAAGTATTTGAATCATGTCACATTTGACCCTCTGAGTTTTTTGCAAATCTATATGTTTGAAGATCTCTTTAACCCAAAACTATCAAATAAAGGGAATTTCGCACATATGCTGGCATCTAATTTGTTTAATTTCTTTATTCTGTTCTGAAATATTAAAAATATCTCAGAATGAGTAAAGTTTAAGAAAAAAAATTTGGCACAGTAGCATGTGTATAATGGGCATTAATGCTATTAAATATTGGTTCTTAAAGGTTGACAGGGTAGAGACATAGAAGGGATCATGTGTCATATCTCCAGTGTGGTTGGACTTAATGAATATTTTACTTGCTATTAGCATTCACAAATCTTATAATATAATTGAGATGGATTAATAATAATAATAATAAGCTCAGAGTTCAAATGGTTAGGTGTTGAAAGTTGAAATTTGGTGCAGTTAGGATATGTCATAAGAATGTACCGAATTTATACCAATCATTTAATTAGCCATATTATAGCCCGATATTTACGCAATCATTTAGTGGTTTAGAATGTACCGTACACTAAGAAGGGATTTTTTGAAATTCCTCTCACAGGGGGAGAGGGAGAAGGTTAAGGATTATCTTGAAGAACTCCATTTCTACTGTACTATTATAGATGTGGTTTTTTTGTGTTTTTGCAAAAAATTGAACATAGTTTTAGACCTATCTAAAAATTCTCTAATTAATCTTGGAAGAGGAGAGGACCTAATTCTTGCACCCAGTGAAAATGGGTAAGATTGGTTATAATCCAATAATCTTAATCTTCGTTATTGTTACTTTTTGCCCGAGCAACATATGGCTCATCTGCTAGATTTTTATAAAACTTGTCTCTACCCTCAAAATTAAGCTTGAGTTCTATATGAGTACAGAGAGAAAAGGAAATCTTACAAAATTTGAAGATGATATTTACCATGCATTGGAAAAAATAAATCACATTGACTACTCTAAGTTTGGATGTTAAAATGGCAATATTTCACTATCCAGACATTATCCAAGATACAGCATTGTCACAGCATTGCCACTAACCAAGTTTCAGTAGAGTGTTTATTTTCTGCTCTTATTATTATTAAATATGATTTAAGAGCTTCAGTAAATGCTAACTTAATAGAAGTGATTTTTTTGTAAGGAGTGATTCAGTTTATAACAGAGATGAAAAATAATAAATTAGTCAATATGGCAAAATAAACAACCTTTTTCTTTACCAGTCTAAATGTTATATTTCTCATTCTTGATTTAGTTTAATGTATCTGTATACTTATATATTATCCAATATACTCGTATATTATAAAAATGTTGAACATAATACAGTAGACCTCCCTATAAAACAGGTTCATATAATACGAATTCGTATATAGCGGCAAAAATATTGCAACAGTATTTGTATAAAGACCCTAAAAGAAACTTGTAAAATACCGTAAAACGTCATCGTTGACTTGTGTCACAACAGGATTGGTCGAATCTAGACCAATAGCGGATATTGCACAAACCGATGAGTTTAAATGAGCAGTGGACCTACTAAAAACCATTTATTATTTAACAGCCATAAAAATTATATTTATATTAATGATGTCTCCAAAGTTCAGCAAATATTTTGCAAAAAAATAATTTATCAGGAAGCATGCACCCACCGTTCGATGCACCACTCCACGACGAAAACAAGCTTAAGCAATGGCGTCGTCGAATGGTGCACACTCAGTAAGTAATCCTACAATTTTTTGTTTGTAGCATAGTTTATATGGATTATTCCCAAAAAATTATACGTGTTTTGGAAATGTTGAGTCAAATTAGTACATAGTTGATGTGATGGTGTTTCTCATGTTTTATGAGCTTTTAGCTATCTCTAGTAAAGAGATAGAAGATAGGCTGATTTCAGGGAATTATATTTGTTTTTTTGACATTTTTATTCTTATGGGTATGGTCTACAACTCTGAAAAGGGCACAATTGCAGATGTGAATGATGCTGTTGAGATCTTAACAGAGCTGTAGAGCATGCCTGTAGGAGCAAAAAAAGTCAAAGGAACAATATCTCTACATGTGACCCTTTGTGAGATATAGCCCCAACTGGAATTGGGCACGATTGGGAGCCATTCTGCATGCTCTGCTAAGACTATCATATTTAACTATTCAGCCCATGTGATTATGCCAACTTTGAGTAGACCACTCGACTGTTCATAAAGTATTTAATGTTATATAATTTTACAGGGTGTGGGGCCTTTCCCCACGTAGTCGTCGCGGTGAGAGCAGTAGCGAGCACCAAAATGCACAACTACACGTGGAGCATGGAGAATAGGCAGTTGTACTGGTTCAAGATAAAATCTGTTTTCGGTCAGAAGTTAATGCATTTATTATTTATATTAAAGACACCAATGACTATGCCTAAAACAAATTTGCTTGCAAACATGACGTACGCAAGCAAGACGGCAACCAGATTTGCCGCCACTGGGGTTTTACATTTGGAGGAGACCATCTCGCAGAGTTGCACGTCAAACATTTCTTTATTCTTTACTAATAAATATCATTAGAATGTCTGACCATCGTGCTGGATTATCTGTTAAACACACGATAAGATTAGTGGAGTGTGCAACATAATTCCTGGGAGTAGGGCAATTTTGGGAGACTATATCTTATGAAGGGTCACATATAGAAATACTTTTCCTTTGACATTTTTGCTCCTAAGGGCGTGCTCCATATCTCTGTTAGGGTCCCAACAGTGTCAATCACATCTACAATCTTATCCCGAAGATATCCAACTGCCATATTCAGAGCTACACTTTTATCCACATCACGTGCATGTGTTTCTAGATTTGCATTTTTTTTTTTCATATACACTCGACCCCCTATAACACTGTTGATTATTCCGTTTTATATGAATTCCATGTTGTACGAGTCACTTGGATTTTACAAATACATGCGCCAGGCTGTGAATGGCTCAATATTTGTAAAATCTAAGTGACTCGTACAACGTGGATTTCATATAAAACGGAATAATCAACAGTGTTATAGGGGGTCGACTTGTACATGATTCACGTGAATTAAAGACAATGTAAATAGACGATCCCCAATGACTGTAAAGAAATCTGCATTAAGACAAATCACTGTTTCTTATTAAAGCTTTCTTTTGGGGATTAAAATATAAATTATGCTCCCGAAAACATCTTCATACGGTTACACTCTGTACAAGTCGACCCCCCTATAACACTGGTTGTTTTTCCATTTTATACGAATTCCATGTTATACGAGTCACTTAGATTTTACAAATACGTGAGCCGTTCACAGCCCAGCACACTTATTTGTAAAATGTAAGTGACTTGTATAACATGGAATTCATATAAAACGGAAAAATCAACAGTGTTATAGGGGGATCGACTTGTACAAATCCATTATACAAGAGTAAAAAAAATCGCGAATTATCACTAAATTAAAGAATTTTATAGAGAAAAAAACTGTATAAAGTTGTTAAATAGACTTTAAATTTATCGACAGAGTACTCACACGCATAAAAATTCCAATTTTTAAATAAATTTAAAGGCCCGAAACACACGACCGCAGAAGGTAAACATCGCAAACCAAACGAAACAGACGAACTTTGCAAATAATTTTATCGAAAACGTACGCGCTGCACCCTTTAAAATTCATATAAAACAATGAAATTCGGTAAGAATAAATAATAAAATACTCACGTTTTTTTTAACACGCGTGTCGTTACCTTCCAAGATTCGTTAATAAAATAACATGATCAAATGAATAAGATCCACATCATCATCGTCTGTCGGCCGGATCACGTGACGCGGCTTCGAGATTAATCCGAATCTTCCGCCGAGGTTATCTCCATCCAAGATGGCGGAAGGCAACCCGACAAGATCGCCGAATATATTATGTCGGTGAGTTGTAAACAACGATTAATAGATTTAAATTTATAGCCAGAATGAATATAAATGATAAAAACAACCGACTTGATTTAAAAAATAAACGTAATCGATGGTGATTACGTAAATATGACGTTTTGAAGTTAGGGCTACTTATCAAACGACTCTAGGCCTAACGTTCTAAAGCAAGGAGATCGTCGACCTTCGATTGAATATTTTCCGATGTTTTTGAAAATATCTCGTTTAAATAACGTTTTAATTCATTTTTTTAAAGGCCCAAACATTATTTTAACTCGAAAGATTTAAAAAATTATAAAATAAACATTATAAATCTTTTCGGAAATTAAATTTTCCACTAAGTTAATTCAATGGGCGCTTACTTAATAAAGCTTAATTATAAAAATAATAACGATTAATTTGAATTTAGAAATAGATTTAAATTTTTTAAAAATAAACTATTGTTCTAAATATACAACGCCCACAGAAAACAAATGTGAAGTTGTTTTCGATTTTAAATATGGAAAAGTGGATTATTATATGCTTTTTAAAACTAATTATACGTTAATTTTTATATAATGCAACAATCAGCTGTTTTATGGGAGAAATAATTACGTAATCCCCCCTTTTTTTTGAATTGTTTAAAATATCGTCAATTTCTTTCTTGTTTGAAATTTTAACGTTAAATTTAAACTTTTTTATACGTTTACTTGACGTGAAAACGTACAAATTACGTTATAATATGATAAGATTTTATCAAAATTCAATTAAAATCGAATGGTTTTTTTTTTGTTTTCACTTTTTGATTGATGTGTTTGTGTTTATTGCAACTTTTAAATGAGAATTTTAAGGTTTTTTTAATGTCATTTTGGATAATTTTTTGGCCGAATCAAGAGTTGTTTTGTCTTCGCTTCTTGTTGGATGCCATTTGTTCGGTTTTATTCCTAATTTTCAATGTTTTAAGTAAAATATGTCAGATTTTGAAGTAAAATATGCAAATTTTACTATAAAACAACAAGTTTTTACCGAAATTTGCTTTTATTTCCACGTCTTAATGGAATTTTTTTTATTTAATTCCTAAATTTAAATGCTTTAATTAATATTTTTATATGTTTCTTTAATGAAAAAACAGTCAAATTATTTTATGAAGTGATAACATTTTATCTGAATTAATTTTAATTTAAATAACGTGGTTTTTGTTTTACTATTCAATTTATTTCTAAATTTAACCAATTTAACAAAAATTTCTAAATGGTTTTTTTAATGAAGTAAGATAAATTATCTTATAAAATAATATGTATTTATTTTGGTTGAGAAATGTTTTGCTTTTGCTTCTTCGTAGACCTGTTTTTATTTGTTTAATGAAGGTAATTGTCAGTTTATGTTTAATTGTGTTTTTTAAAAAGTATATTGACATTTGATTATTGTTTATAAACTGTTAGTGTTTTTAAACACATTAATATTTTGTAAACAATGTTTTTAATTGTTATGTAAACATGATAAATAAACATGCCAAAGTTCCTAAATGACATGCACTTAATAGTGAAGCTTGTTTATTGTTTAAAACTTGCATATAAATCTAATATATGGTAATATATCTTTTACAGATTGTTATTTCTTTAAAATTAATGTATTAGATATGTAGTAAAATGCCAATAGATATAAGAAATATTATCCATTCTTATTATAAATTTATTTCCTTTTTATATCTTGAAAGGTAAAATTTTTAGAGACAGGAAAAAGTAATAACTTGTTTAGTTTAAGACGATAAAAATAATATAAAGTGGAAAATATTTGGGTTATTACTAATTACAAATAATAATTGAGCAGTGATAACAGATTTTAATATTTGAATAAATATATCAAAATAATGCACAAAATGCACAAACCTGATTTTCAAGTAATATCAAATGATCATCTGAATTATTGGGCTATATAATTAGGCTTATTTAATTTAGCTTTATTATAGCCTGATGAATAAATGTATTTATTAATTAAAAATCTGTTACAGAACATTTTTATAATATGAATTATGAACACTTATGAATACATGGCTTAATAAATACATTTAATGCATTAAATGTATTTATTAAGGCAACCAAAAAATATTTATTGTAGAAACTTTTTGGTTTTCTTGAAGCCATCCTCAGCTACTGCAATACTCATATTCATACTGTATATTCTAAAATGGAACACTGAAAATTATTATAGTTACACATTCTAAATGTTTGGAATTAAAATTTAAAAGTGGAATATGCATTTGAAATTATAACTGTGATCTATTCTAAAATGGAATACACTTTGTAATTGTTTAAATTATTTTTTGAATGCCTTAAATAAGCAGTATATACATAAGTGCTGAGATGCTTGTGATTCCAAGTTTAATGGAATTTACAAATTTTTAGTTCAAGGAGGAGGAGGTTTTATATTATTGTTTCTGTATCCATTCTGATAAATGATTTGGGAAATTATATAGGAATTTCATTGTTTATACAATGCAGTTTGGTTAATTTGAATCTATATGTATGTTTAAATTAGCAAGGATATATTAAGATATAGAATAAAATGCAATGGATACAATTTCAGCTGTTATAATATAAAATATATACAGTGCATTCTTGCTAATCCAAATTCAACTTATTTTGAATTAGATTTGTTTATTTTTCTGCTAAATGCTGCAGCCAAAAAGAAAAAGAAATCAAAAAATTATTGTCTTGAAAACATGATGAATTATAAAATTAATATTTACTACCCATTTTAATATATATGTACTGTACCAGGTACTGAATAGTAAAAAAATCTTTTAATACATCATATTTACTCAAATATAAGACACCATCGAATCTAAGATGTCCCTTAAAATCTAAATGCTTGCCCATGAATTTTTTTTTTGAAAAAAGAAAGAACTTGAGACAAATTTATTGCACAGTAAGGTAAGTTATATATCACTCATGATAAAGCTCAAAAACATTAAAATTAAAACAGATTAAACCAATACTCCCCCAACTTATTTGGAATAGAATGTGAAATAGCATAAGCAAATAAAAAATACCATTCTGGCTGAATATGAGAAAAAGAAGGTATAAAACTAGCTCCTGAAAACCACCGAGAACTAATAATTTCCTCTCACAAAATACACAACCTCGATGTTGGATTAAGTTTCCTCTACTGTGCAAGAGCAGCAATAGGAGGTCTGTTCAACCACTATCTTGGTATTAAAGTTGGAAATCTCTTTACTTTCCATGTTAAGCTTTTTTGAATCTACACTGGATTTGATTATCACATTTTCTTACATGCAATCATCCTCATTGCTATTTGAAGCATTGCAAATGCATTTCTTGAAAGAGTGCTGTGTAAGTTTTTCTGAGATTTTTATCCAAGTACTTATGATATTACTGTTACGAGATTGAGCAAAGTTGATCTCTTCAATATTTACTATTACAGATATTAATCTAATAAAATCATTAAAATTATACAATGGAATTAAGACAAGATAGTAAGATGACAGAGAAGTAAGATGCATGGCCTTAGAGGTCATAAAATTATGACATATTACATCAAATTGAAGATGCATATTATTTTTCAGAGCTACTAAAATATGAGAAAAGTGAATCTTATATTCAAATAAAAACATTTTTTTTGTAGTTTCTTTTTACTTCTTTTCTATAAGACTCCCATTAATTTGAACAACTTCATTGACAAGAATGCTCTGTATGTCAAGAACACATGGGTTATTAGACTTTCAAGTAATCCAAGTTTAATATACATTTATAGTATATTTACTAATTTGCTGAGATATTATTCTGTTAAAAAATCTGTGAAATAAATAAATAAATTTCTTTTTTTCATAATATTCAGATTAAATGAATTTAAAATTTTTCATTATACATAGTATCATCATCTGTAGTAAACAATAAATTTGTAAAGCAATGAAAATTTTAACATTATAACAGATGATTATATTAATTATACAGAATGTTTATCTGAATAAATAATAATTACTAAAAATAACTCTATTTAACTGTAATTTCTTAATAATCTAAATACAAGATAGCTCCAAAATTAGTCCAATGTTCTAAACACAACTCTATTATGGTGTTTAACAATAAAGTTTAAGAAAATGAGATTCTTTACATTTAGTATACAGTTTGCAGCATTCTAAAACTATAAGTTCTCTGATTTACAAGTATTCTTATCAATAAATCATTGCTAATTTTAGGAAGCCACTTTTTATTAATTAAAAGGTTTTTGGTCAAAATCTGATCATTCTAACCTGAAAATTTTAGCTTTTCAGGTTTAGAATAATATAACATCATTCCTTTAATTTATAAAAAGTTGGTTCTGTGAAATTAGAAGTGTTCTTTATTTATTTACAAAGATTGTGTTAAGTTTATAACCTTTTATTGTTATCTTGAATGCTTAAACAATAAATTACATATTCTTAGTTAACTAATTTTTGGTTTGCTTAGTATGTGATTCAATTAGATTTTTATTTCATTTGCTTATATTTAGAAATAAAAATAATTTGATTTTCTAGTTAGTGAGAAAATATAGCATTGTTTGATTTCTTTGTCTTTTTTTAAAATTTAATGATAGAAAAATATATTCATTATTTAATTTAAGAATGTTTTTATTATGAAATTCTGTCTGTAATGTGTTATTGTTTAATAATTTATCGTTGAGAAAGTTAAACAATTTAATGAATCATTAGATTTTTTTTTCTTCAAATAATAATGTTTTTATATTTCATTTCAGTTTTCCTTTAAGCTTTAAAATAAAAAGATAATCAGAATTAGGCTGTTAATATTGAGAAGAAATATACTGTGAAATCTTGATCTATCATTCCCATATCAATTGTTTTCCCACATTTATCATTTTTCTCCAGTCCAAAATAAGTACCCATATATATATATAATGTTAATTTTCTTTTATTTTTGTTCTTGCATAGTTTGTTTTCCCTTAATGTTCGTTCTGTATTTTAACTAAAAGAAAAATATTCCACATCAATCATTTTACCC